AGGAAGGAGCTGGAATGGGAAGTCTGTGAAGAGTTTGAGAAAAGATAAGAGGGTTTTTCATTATTTGATATTTAAAGGAGGGGTTTTAGACCACAGTAAAATAGGTTAGTAGAGAGGCAAACTTGCAAAGAAATAGAACAAGAACAAAAGTTATAAGAATGGAAGACTGAGATAGAAAACATGATTACGGAATGGCATTTGATATAGCTATCAAGGTTAATGTGGAGCTCTGGTGGCCCAGTGGTTAACCATTTGGCTGCTAAACAAAAGGTCAGCAGTTCAAATCCACCAGACCCTCTTTGGAAACCCCATGGGACAATTCTACTTTGTTGCTATGAGTTGGAATCGACTCGAGAGCAACGGGCTGTCTAGCTTAATAGTGATGAGAAATATTGTCCATTGACTGCTCTTAAACAGTAATGAGTCCAGAAAATCTTTTGTTCCAGTTAACATCTGAGATCTTCACTTAGGTGCTCAAATTGAACACTGGTAAAAAAAATTGTTCAAAACATCTAAAGATTATGGCAGTAATGGCATTGAATTTTAATTATATGTTAATGGGTTTATATTTCATTAGGTCCAGAGTTTAGTAAGAGAGAGTAATTTTCACCTCAGGATCAACCAACACCTTGTTTAGTGTTTATCATACTGTAGGTTCTAAATAAAGTTTTATTGGGTAATATAAGTAAATGTTTAACTATAAATTATATGTTCATTCAATAAATATTGTTGATCACTTATCAGGCAATGTTTTATTCCTGAAGGTAAAGTAATGAACAAATATCATTATATCCTCTTTTTTACCTATTACCATATTGGTGTGAAGAAGGAACTTTTCCATATTTATAGTAATTTATCATGATCATTGTACTGTAATCACATAGAAATAGAAAATATATGCCAAGATGTTTCTTGATTTTATACTCTGATGATTTTTTTCCTTCTCTCTCTCTCTCTCTCTATATATATATATGTATATATCACATTTGGAAGATTATTGTTGTGCATAAACCAGATTTAAAAAGAAGCAATACTTTGATGCTTTTTTAGCTTTTCATAAATCAGTTAGAATTTGGAATGGTAAAACGTCAGAATTCGGTTTTAGCCTAATTCTACCTCCTTATATATGGGGACATAGTGAGATATCTGAATGATATCATCCAATGAGTACTAAGAACCTCTGATTTTAAAAAGAATAAATTAAATATTTCTAAATATTTAGATATTCTATATAATTAAAACACAGCCAAAAATATTTATTTTACAATCATCTTCAGTTTAGCAACTTACACTGTGAACTTAATAATTATTTCACATATTGCTTTTCTGTGCTAGTGAAACTAAGTAAACAAAGCTGAAAAAAAATCAAACCTGTTTCCATACAGTTGATTCCAATTTATGGTGACCCCATGTGTTACAGAGTAGAACTGCTCCATAGGGTTTTCTTAGCTGTAACCTTTACAGCCACCTCTTGTCTCTCAGTTTGTTGTACTGTGGTGGCTTTCAAGTTGCTATGATACTGGAAGCAATGCCACCAGTATTTCAAATAACAGCAGGGTCACCCACATTAGACAGGTTTCAGTGGAGCTTCCAGACTAAGACACACCCGGAAGAAGGACCTGACAATCTACTGAAAAAAATTAGCCAATGCAAACCTTATGGACAGCAGCAGAACATTGTCAGATATAGTGTCAGAAGATGTGCCTCTCAGGTTGGAAGTCACTCAAAATATGACACAGTGGCTGCAACAATGGGCTCAAACATGGCAGAGATTGTGAGGCTGGTGCAGGATCAGGCAGTGTTTCCTTTTGTTGTTTTACGTGGGCTCCCTATGAGTCAGAATCGACTTGAAGGCACCTAACAACAAACAACAACAATCTTTATGGAATGATCTCTAGGCCTTTCTTCTGTGGTGCCATTGGGGATCTGAACTGCCAACTTTAGTTAATAAAACAAACAAACAAACCCGTTGCTGTCCAGTCGATTCTGTTTCATAGAGACCCTATAGAACAGGTAGAACTTCCCCCACAGGGTTTCCAAGGAGTGGCTGGTGGATTCCAACTGCTGACGTTTTTGTTAGCAGCTGAGCTCTTAACTACTGTACCACCAAGGGCTCGACTTGAGTTAATAGTGAAGCACAGACCATTTATGCCCCCCAGGGACCTCAGAAACCAAGCTACAGTCCTGTATAAAACAATCTTTTACTGTTAAAAGTTTTATAATATGTATTTGTTAATTTAACAAATAAAATATTAAGTGTTTCTCATCATGAGTATGCTTAACAGAACCTACCAATGTTCTGCAAGTGACCCTCTCTTTATATGTCTCTACAGATTGATGTATTTTTTATTTTTGTTAGGATTTGATATAACAGGATTTTGTATAACATTTAGAATACTTTATATGATAAGACGTTGAAAATTGGGGTTACTCTTTTCAGCCTGCCGAGTAGAGTGAACAAACGGAGGAGGCTGGAACTTACAGAAGGTCTCTAACTGATTACAGAACATAGACTCCCCTGTATAACAGCAGGTTGCTGGTAAAGTTTAAGGGCTATAAATTTGGAACTGATTGGATGAAATCCTTCCCATCATGTGTTGGTCATTGGTAAAATACTCTACATGAAGAAGCAGCCAGAAATATACTGTAGCTGTACTTTAAAAAGGACTATATAATTTTATAACCAGTATAACATGTGTAGCTATGAAAGCTAAAATAATGAAGGGTACAATAAAAAAGAGGTAATTAAATATCACACTCCACTGCATTAACCATTTTATCTAGAAGGGAATAAGAAATATTCCTTTTCTTTAGTTTTCTTTAGTTGGTTCTTATGAAAAATAATGTTTGAGTTGTTATGCTTTAGTATGATTTATTTTATTTTTTGTTGCTGAAATATCATTTTGGCTCTGTACAAAAAGATTTTGCAAACATATTGAGAAGGCAATGGTGTTTATTCTAATGCTCAGCACAATGTAGATACTCAGGCAATCTGTGACTTTCATATTATATTTCAGATCACAACAGCATGAGGGTATAAAATGGTCTGCAATCTCATGTATAAACTCTGTTTCTCTGGTTCTGCCTCTACCCCCCATTATAAGGCTTTTGAATACTTTCAAATTCTCATCTAATTTGTTTTTTCTGGGACCCTCAAGGAAGGGCTGATAAAATTCTAATATAACTCATGACCATGCTTAAGAAGCGCTACACTTATTATGCTAAATGTATAAAATCTACAGAGCATTTGTTGTTTTGTTTTGTTTCTGGTTTGCCTTTTTTATTCTCATTTCTTGGTTGCTCAAGCTCGTTCTGTCATCTCGCCTGTATCTACCATCGCCCCTCCAAAAAAAAAAAAAGAAAACATCAAACCACCTCATGTAGGTTTAAATAATGGTAATTAATGGCAGATTTATATTCTGAATCTCTTAGCTAAAATTGCTAAACATTCTCACAACATTGTTTCATAGACTATCCTATTAAAAATTATAATGCAGAGGAAATCCTACTTATGGCCTTTAAGGCTCAAGCTGTATAAACAAAAAGGGAAACGTGTTCTATTATTATGACACATTGTGAAAGTAGTTTTACTGTAGGCATTAAAGTGGACTCAACTATTTAGCTTTCCATCAAACTTTATTTATTTCATGTAACAATGTAATGTAGGAGCATCTTTCAAATGACCTAGCACAGTTGTTCACACAAAACATGAATGCATATAAGATAAAATAAGTTAAAAATAGATAATATGCGACAGCTGAAAAAAAAAAAAACATTGCCGTCAAGTCAATTCCAACTCATAGCAACTCTATAGAACAGCATAAAACTACCTCATAGAGTTTCCAAGGAGAGCCTAGTGGATTTGAACTGCCAACCTTTTCCTTAGCAGCCAAAGCACTTAACCACTATGCCACCAGGGTTTCTGTGACAGCTGAATAAGTAATAGAAATTCTAAACCTCTTGTGTGTGTCACTAACTCACCTCATCAATGAACTTATATTCTCTCTTATGATTGTCCCTAGGACTATTTCCATTATAGTTTATAATAGTAATTTTTTTGTGGGGGGGGGCAGGAGGTTTACTGAGTACTACTTGTATGTCAGACACTGTGTTTGATTATCTGCTTCAATTCAATTAACTGTCACAATTAATCTGCAAAATCAGTGTAATTACCTCATTTTATAGGTAAAAGGATTGAGGAAGAAAACACAAATACCTTTCCAAAGTCACACGGCTACTTAGTGGTGCAACTAGAATTAACCCTCAGATTAAACTCAAAAGCCCATCCTTCATCACTGTGTTTTACAAACCTCCCTCAATATTTATCTTACTGCAGTACAGCTTGTTATAGACATCAATACCACAAAATGGACTTTGAGTTCCTTAATGGAAGAAACCCAGCTTTATTTACCCATTCTTTATCATCACCCAAATCAAAGCCATTGTCGCGGAGTTGATTCGGACTCACAGCAACCCTATAGGACAGAGTAGAACTGCCACATAGGGTTTCAAGGCTGTAATCCTTACAGAAGTAGAATGCCACATCTTTCTCCTGCGGAGTGGCTGGTAGGTTCAAACCAGGACCTTTCAGTTAGTAGCAGAGCACGTAGCCACTGCACCAGCAGGGCTCTCATTAACAACAACAACAACACAAACAGTTTCCATCGCTTAGATTCTGACTAATAGCAACCCTGTAGGAAAGAGTAAAACTGCCCCATAGGCTTTCCAGTGCTGTAAATCTTTACAGAATCAGACTGCCTCATCTTTATCCATAGATTGACTAGTGGGTTCAAACTACAGACTTTTCCGTTAGCAGTCAAGGGCTTAATGACCCCACCAGGTCCTCATAAATAGTCTTGCAACTTAGTTGTGCGACATTGGCCAAGCCCATGTATTTCACTGTGCCTCAGTCATACTATCTGTAAATGAGGAATAATAAAATAATATGCCACAAGAACAAAGGAAAGGACAAGAGAAAAGAAAACAAGAATGACAGGAAAGTGCTCCCTTCGGTAGCACATATACTAAAATTGGAAAGATACACAGAAGATTATCATGGCCCCTGTGCAAAGATGACACACAAAGTCTTGAAGTGTTCCGTATCTTTTAAAAGCTAACCAATAGTTTAGCTTAACTAGAAAAAAAGGTCTACCTTGAGCATTATGCTCTTTTAAGAATTATTTATATGGGATCAAATTGACAATAGTTACTAGAAAGATGAAATAGGAATCTTAGGGAGCAGTGAGTTTATGTTAACGAGGGAGGAACAACTCAGTAAAGGAGAGTGAGAATGGTTGGACAACTAGAAAAATGAAATCAATGTCACTAAATTGTTCATGTACAAACTGTTTAATTGGTGTATTTTTTGCTATGTATATTCTCAACAACAACAAAATTTCCAAAACAAAAATGGAGCGGGAAATATCAGCAGGTACCTGAGTGTGGAAAATTTGGAAAACTATCCTCTTGATTTTACTATATAATGAAATATTGACACATTTCCATGGATTATAAAGCAAATTTCTGTCTCTGGCAATTCCATATGTAAAAATTTGGGGGTGGGAGTGGGGATGGAGAATTGACAAATTAATTTTTAACCAGTGACAACTGCGATGTCTGCATATTGAATACATTTTGACCAGTAGTCTCCAAAATAAGGTGATCCTTTGGGGTGAAGAAGAAAATTTTAGAACTTCTCTTCACATTTACGTTTATAGTTATAGTTATTAAATTTAAAATATAAACTAGTAAGTAAGCTTTACCTACATTTACAACTTGCATTTTTAAATATGAGTTTATATTAAATGAATATTAATTTTAGATTACAATGAAAACATACTTTTTAAGATGATAAGCATCTCAAGTGTAGAGATTTCAAAATAATTTTATTTCATTATAATACAAACAAAGCTATTGCTAATAAATTACGAGATGATTCTTGGGCTTTATTCTTTTTGGCCTGTGATAAACAAATAATATACCATGATAGTAAACATTCAGATGTAACAAAATGAAAGAAAAAAGATAGAAATAAAATGAATTCTTAAGACTCAAACTGGGTGTTCATATCATCATCAGTGATACATTATCCAGGAGAACATAGGACTCTACATCAGCTTAGGGGACAAGGACTGGCTTAAATTGTGAATCAAGGTATAGTGTGGAAAATAAAATAAGATATCTTGAAACAATACTTTCTTTGCTACCTATGAACTATAGCAAACTAGGGAAACTGTCATCACCAATATGCTCTAGAGATAACCTTTAATTATTTCTCAAGATCACATGAACTTTGAAAATGTCAAGGAACAGATACTATAGCCTTTTCAGAACAGAATTCGGGTGCCTGTAGTCATCCTAGAAAGAGTTTTTAAGTAACCATTGCTGTTTTCAAACAAATGCTGTTAGAATATAAAATTGAATTTTTCTTTTGGATGGCTGTGCAATTGAAATACTTTCCTAGCCAAAGCATTAAACTTTCTATCAGTCCTGTGAAATGTAAGAAGGTATAATATTGTATGTAATGTAACTAGGAATTCTAATTATCTTGAGAAAGAAATGATATAGTGGGAAATGATTTAAATAATTCTCAGTTATAACTTGGTTGATTCAGGAAAAAGAAAAGATCCTATTTTTTTCTGAATAAATCTTAAAAAACAAGAAAACAAAACAAATATATGGCTACTTCCATATTTCCATAAAGACATACTATATCCTATCTCCTTTTTTAAATATTTGTAACAAAACACAAATAAAACATATAATGAATCTTTAATAATATTTTGTTTCCCTTGATTATCTTACAGCCTAATTAAATGGAAGCTGTGATAATGATGATGATGATGATGATGGTGATGATGGTGATGATTACTGAAAATTGCTTTGGCCTTTGACTAATGAAAAAACAGTGTACTATCACTGCATCTACTCTGCCTTAGCAGAATAGAGAGAGTTTTAAGCAATAGTTGCCACATAAAAGTAAATTTTCTGAGTTTTTGTGTTGTCAAACTATTTACAACAATAATATAATCATTAGGATCTACCATACATATGTAGTTTTAAAGATACCATTTTAAATGAAAAAATTTCTATAACATGTATAACTGCATAATGATAATATAAATAACACGCGATACACTGACAATGGGTTTGGGCTAATAAATTCAAAAGAATAAAATGCTACATGATTCTATAATGAGGTTCATCATTCCTGGTATCTTCACAGGACTACGGAAGCTCACCTAACAAGACAAGAGTCTAGTAACTACATCAAGTTGAGGACCCTGGCATTTTCAGGGTGACAAGTCTTCTCCATTTGTTTTTACTTAAGTATTTATTTACTAAACACATTTTGCTAAGAGTTAGAAATACAAAAAAAGATCTTTCAAATGCAGATAATGTTATAGTGTGAGATAAAGCATTGAGTAATACAGTGACAAAGTCACTGCTAATAGAAATAACAGACACTGCTGTTCAGGAGAGAAGTCTACTATAACCTTAGTCAAACTTTCTGGTAAGGATCTTTCAGGTCAGTGATTTCAATGTCACTTTTTAAGTGACAAATTTGTTCCCAAATTACCTGATTGCACATGAGTTAGGAAGAGGGTCTGGTCTGCTGAGAGGCTATCTCAGAAAGGGCACTGCTGGTCACATTTCCCTCATCAACAATTAAGGCAGATGGAGGTGGACATTGGCCTGATTTCTAAAGGAAATCACTCTCCAAGCTGTATCAGGACTCACACTTTGGAGATTCTGCTTGGGGCGAAAAACTTTGCAAAAGAGCATCTCTGTTAACTCTATTTTCCAGAGATCCTTTGTTACACACAGAAGAATAGCTGAAACTGCAGAGCATGGACTAGCAGATCATATTTGTGGAAAGGAAAGGTGTTTTCATGAAATAATTTACATGATCAAAATGAATTGAACATTTTTTGAAGAAATGTGATGTAGCAATTTCCCAACATTAGAATTAATACACTACATATATATTTAAAATCCCCAATGTTCCTTCACAGATCAAATTTCCCTACATCAAGAGATAACCACTGCTCTCATTCTCATAAATGTTTTTTTAATTACATGCAAACATATCCTTAATAGATGTATTTTAACATATTTCTCATTAATATACAGTATTTGCATCTTTATTATTAATCTACAGGGCATCTTTCTTTTTTAAATTACTTTCTTCACTCCAAATATGTTATATTTATTTATGTTGATGTGTACAGCTATAAATTTTTCATGTTTATCTCAGTCTACAATTCCACTTGTGAACACTCCTACTGGTATGATTTTTTTTAACTAATTTTTCACTCTGGTAACATTCTGTTACAAGTCTGAATATGCCTATGTAAGAGAATTTGGAATTTATACCTAATTACACAGTCTATTAGTGGATTGTAGAATTTGTAAATCTTCACCTTTACTGAATATTGCAGGAATATATCCTCTAAGAGCCTCAGCGAGAGCTCTGCGGGAGAACCTTAGATGTGGGGGGTATTCTATCATATACAGAGGACGTATATGAAGGTTTTATTTTTGGAAGCAGACATGTATATCTAAAACTAAAATTGAGATAAATAAACTTTCTACAAAATGCTGCCTTAAATGCATTTCTCTTTCATGATAAACATTCAGCAAAATCCATAAAACATAACTTCTGAGTAAAAACAAGCAACATGCATTTTTTCACCAGTCTAGTTGCTGCTTCACTAATATTGCTAATCTCATCAAAACAAAACATACTAGGAGCGAGTACATTTGCATCCATTAGCTTCATTTTATATATCTTTGAATGTTAAATTACCTAAAATTTCAGAAGAATTTTTAATCAGCTCCGCAGAGCAATGTTAAACTCTTTAGATCGCTGGTGGCTAAGGAAGTATTTTTCAATATGAATTTTCAGTATTTTCTGCACATTTTTGCTTGCATTTACATTGGAAAATATTGCCTCTGCCCTAACCCCATTGGACATAATTAATTAAATGCATTCAGTTTTGGAAAATTGTCTTTTAAAGAGATTGAGATTACACTTTCAGACATTTAACTTGCAAATTTCTTCCACTTCAGAAATGGTATTAAAATTATATGGAAAATATAGCATTAATTACTTCTCTTCTGTGTATGTCATAACAAATATTAGCATTGTATGCCTTCAGCATAAACAGAGTTGACAAATTATCACAGCTCATGAAAGCAGACTTAAAGAAATTTCTTGAAATTTAGGTCTGTTCCTTGAAATGGTTTTCCTTCTTGATTTATTAAAAAGCACAGGTAGAAGTAGACTGTTAAGAGAGATAAGTAACAAAAATAATACTGAATCTTAGTTATCAATTTTTTTCTTTACCACTTGTTTCCAAGACTATTACTAGTTTAATTGTCTTGATGCTTTTGCCATTTAGTCAAATATTGTAGGTCAATTTTGTACAAACAAACCAAAGAGTTACAAATACAATGATACCTGGCTTTTATTTATATCACTACATCTATAGTAATATTTGTACAGAAAGAAACAATCAGATTTGCCTAAATTCTACTCAGACTCTCCTGAGAAATTCAAACATCTTAACTTCTTAAAAAAAGTTATTTTACCATGTATTTATATATAATTTATTTTCATTTCAGCTTTAGAGAATACGTTTTAGGTGCCTAAAATACTGCTGGGGAAGTTTCAAAAGGAATACTTCAGTATTCATGAACATATACCCTATAATAGGCAGAAAATTTTTGTCGTTGTGCTGTTGTTTGCAGTCACTTTGATTCTGACTCATACTAGGCCAAAATATGTTCACGTCGTTATCCCTGAAACCTGTGAATATGTTAGGGTACATGGCAAAAGTAATAAATTAAGGTTGCTAGTCAACATACCTTAAAATGGTGAGATTAACCTGGATTATTTGGGTGGGCCCTCAAAATTTTCTCAAACCAAAGCAGTAACCATTGAATTGATTCCAACTTATGGTGACCTCACATGTTGCAAAGTAGAACTATGCTTCATAGAATTTTCATAGCTGTGACTTTTCAGAAGCAAATTGCAAGACCTTTCTTCCCAAGCACCACAGGGTGGGTTTGAACAGCCAATCTTTCGAGTAGTAGTTGAGCACT